TGTAAATGCAGGAAATATGAATGAGGGAGCAAACGGGAATATTCCAACTCTGGTTGGAATAGTAGATGCGGATTGAGGAGATAACAATTTTTTTAGTGTAGGTGAATTTAGGTCAAGTTTATCCAATAACTATAAGCTGTCATACAGTACTGTCTCAGATCTAGTATCTGGCCTCTGCCTGATTCTCATTTCGCAGAATTGAAATCGATGGATTCAATGATCTTAAATGCAAGAATAATCTTCTGACACAAATGATATTATGTTATAACCAGCGAATGGAGGGACAGATTAACGTGCTTACATCAAAAGGAACTTTGTGCATTGTGACTGTATTCTTGTAATACGTAGGGCCCAGGTCAAAATATGCATAGTTGCATAGTTCCTTTTGATTTAAATACGTTCAGATTTGACCATCATCAGCCTGACTGTGGCGTCAAAGCATTATTGCATATTTGAAAAAACAAACATCTGCAAAACCAATTAATAGTGGCAAATACATATGTTTTTCTCTCTTAGATTTTAATTGTTTACGGTAACTTATCTTTCAATGTACATATTTCATTTTAGTTTTCCACCCAACAATAATTTTCCTCCATATGCTATTTTCTCTTAAAGTAAAACTTCATGAATTTCCTCAATAACCTTTAAACTTAAGATTTCAAATACTTTGGATTTTAAATAAGAACCAAATTACAGGTGAATTTGAAGTCTGTTTTTATCACAGAGGACTGTTTTTCTTTCTCCTTTCTTTTGTTTGAAAATGTGTGTCTATCTTTCCAGAAAATTAAACGGTGGAGAGCTCATTTCCTCCCCCATGCGAGAATACGAGTACTTCCGCTATTTTTAAAAAACTCTGGTTTTCCTTCGTTGAGCGTTTCTTCGCGTCACTGACAAAGTTCGAGGAATAATTGACAGGCCGGGACAGGAGCAGCACCCAGGCGGGGCAGCGGGGCGATGGGGCACAAAAGAAACTTCCGTGAGAAAACAGCGGCTAGAAAGTAGGGAGACGTTCTATTTGCGTCTAATGTTCATCACGGGCACGGGTTTTATATTTTTCGCCTCCAGCCCCGACTAGAAAATAACGCGTTTTTTTCGCGTAGAGCACGCGCTCACCGTAACACGCTCGATTGAGACTGAAGAGGCTGTTTCCAGTAGACGCTGATGATGTCACAGAAAAGCGATTTATCGGTTTATTCTTATTGGTAGCATTTGAAGTGGTTACATCAATATTATTGTTTTGTATCCACAACTCGATATAACCGAGAACCCTCTCACCCCATGAGATCAGGACTAATAACATCTATGTTTTTCAAGGCTAGGGTCATGGGTAATACTGGTAAAAAGATGAGTAGTTTCGATGACAAAGGTCACCAAAATTAATGTCTCGACTACAATAAAATATGATGTTTCATTCCGTCTTTAGTTTACAAGAGGCATGCTGCCTTTGCTTTTAAAGCTTCTTTTGTTGTAAGCAGCTTTCATGGTTGTACAAAATCCACCAAAGGTATGTCCGTAAACGTGGTTTTATTTTGATGAATCTGTTCAAAAAATTTTCATCGTTTCATTTTATTCCTCATATAGTTTTTGTACTTATTGAAGCCATCAGGTATAGGGAATGTAGAGCTTGCAAAACGTCATTTGACGTCTTTTGATAGAACAAAAGTATCATCAATTGCGGAATTATTCGCATCAAATTTTGATTGTATTTCCAGTGCGCATCATGAAAATATACATTCCAAATAAAGCCTTGACTAAGGATGTGGAAGACATTCAATTCAGTTTTATGAAAACTTTTACGCGTACCATAAGACGCACGCGTTAGTCTTAAACATGTATGAAAGTATTGGAAAATTGTATCCAAAATGAATTTTGATCTGATAGGAATAATATACAACTACCTTTGAACACAACGAGCAAAGGTGTCCATGTAAGTCCACTGCTTGGATAGGCAACTGTTTTAACCTAATAGAGTTGTGTGTGGTATCATTCCCATACGCAGGCGTTTTTCGCGTGAATTTGCCGTGCAAGACTACACTTGGTATAAATTTTAAGGAGTCTTGCACAGTGAAGGAATGAACAATCTTTATTTCATATGACGCTTCTTTCACTTTTATTTGCTACCAGAGCTCATTATACTTTGGTCTATTTTCAACGTCAATGAACCGAGAGAGTTAAAATTTTCCTCGCATAGCAGGAATCTCGTTTAATCCGCATTATTATTTTCTTTTTCATTTCATCAAGCAGTGAAATATCTCACGATTTTACGTCACTTAAGTCAAGAGGAAAACAACCGAAGAATCTATTTCCGTCGGTCTCCCAATACACAGAGCAAGGATGAGTATGCTCTCCATAAAAACAAACTTAACAACATTAATTAAATCCCAACAGAAGCGATAAAAACGGTTGTGTGGTCCCAGAAATGTCAACATCTAAACTGGATACAATTGACGCAAATGCATAATTTTTCCGCACCGGTCGCAAACGGTCAAAAAATTCTTGGGTAAATGAATTTACGGGGCTTTACGGGATACATATTTCAGGCTCCTTCCCCTCCGACCCGATAGTATAGCTTTCTCCCGGCTTTAAACTACTGTCTGGTCGGCGCCACGGTTGCGAAATTTTCGTGGAAACCGAATTTCGGTGACGCAGGACCATCGGACCTTCACACAGATTCCGGCAACATAGTTGGCATCAATCCATGATGCAGTCGTTCAAGCATTAGATAATCCGATTCTTAATAAATCCTCGGTCCTATGCATTCTTTCAAATTCTCCCTTTGTGCCCCCCTCCCCCTCCCCGCTCCCGGAAGCCGCATCTCCCCGGAACTCGCCTCGGGCTATGTTTAACCCAATTTTTCTCCCTTTTTTTCGTCAAAAAAGATATGACAAATTGTCGAGCATTTGGACCGTATAAATCTTAGTAATGAAGCTTCGTCTGTTTTACACGCGCGATAAGGTGGGGTGGGTTCGTCTTCGTTCGCAACAATTAATGTTGAGAAGCCAACCTGACCCAATTACCAGAGGATATTAATACCTGCGCTGAGTGGACGAACCTGCGGAGATCTCGAATCTGGTCAGGAGGCGAGAGATGGAGCTCATGGTGAAAGAAGTAAGCGAATGGAACGCTTTTAGTTTCTGTTTTTCTTCCTTTTTTCCGTTCTCTTCTTCCTTATCTGGTTAATGTTCTTTTAATCCAAAAATTTCGATAGGAAAATAGTTGGTCATGTTACATAACAAGATATTTTAAATACAAGTTGTTGGTTACATAATGAACTAACAAGCAACTAAAGAGGTAGCCTTAATTCCTACAAATTTGCTGAGGCAGGTGAACTCGCCCTATTTTTGGAAATTTATTTTATGCAGCCAAAAGACCCAAAAGGCTCAAATTAAAACATTAAAGTGGCCGTCTTCAATATTTTGAACGTAGTGAATGTGACAAACTCGTTCAAATTACTTTTAAATGAAACATCGGTTTGTCTAGGTTTCAAAAGTAATTGACCCCAACTTTTTGGCTTCAAAAAAGAAGGAAATAGAAAATGAAAAACATTAAATAAATACAGTATGTCTTGAGACTTAATAACTGAATCTGTCCGGTAAAATCTAAGTCAGATCCTTTTTATTCTACTTTTTTCTAATACCTAGTACTTTCGGATCTGGTCGAGAAGCTTTTCTTCGGTTTGCCCGTCGGAGCGAAACTTGGACAGAACAAATCCGTTTTCCTCTTCTAATTTCCAAGATAAATCTAGTATTTCTAGTAATATTTCAGGCTTCCCTTTCAAAATAAAGAAAGCGTAAGTCCTATAATGAGGGTTGAAGTATCCAAACACTAAATATTGTTTTCGGTCAGTCAAATTGAACGATAAATTTTTGCGTTCGGATTCTTCGCGACAGAGGAACGTTACTGCACTTCTACCTTGCGAAATTTTGACTCGCAAATTATTTACTTTCCTCTAGAATCCACGCCAAAAAAATTTTGCACTTTTAGACTGCGAACGAAGATCGTGTACATGGCGTCAGTTTAGCATTGAAAGTAAAGGCATGAATCAAGATGGCGAATCTTCTATCGCAGTCTAAAAGTGCGGAAACATGTTCGGCGAGGACTCTAGGAGGCTGTAAGGCATTCCCGACTGATGATTTTACTAATTAATTTTTTTTTTTTTTTTTTTTTTTCAAATTACACGAAAAGTTACAGTAACGGCAGAAATTGCCCTGCCGTATTTTGGTATCGAAGGGAAAAAAATGCATTCGCTTTGCAGGTTGAGAATTCGAGTTTCATCCCTTCGTCTGGAAAACAATTACCGCTCAACATTTCGATGCCTGACTGTAAAATATAGTCTCTTGGATCCAGAGTCCCGACTTTTAAAACAACTTGACTCTAAAAAGTACTCTTGATTCAATCGGATTTGCGCTTGAATCAAAAGGAACTCCACTTAAATTCGGCTTTCGGCTCAAGCTAAGTTCCGATTGAATCAAGAGTCTTTTTTCTTGCCAAAATTTTTATGAGTCTGGACTTCGGAATCGAGAGACTTCTTTTCCAGTGATATTATATCTGGATTGCATTTTGTGAAAAGGAACCAAGATTCCAATATTGGTAAGAATTGCAACTTTTTCTACCTTGCAAATGTACACTGAACATCTAAAGAAGTTTTACTTTTACTCCCAATAAACTATAATAATTTCAATACGGAAACTATCTTAGTAAATTTATTTTTTTGCGTGAATTCAGCAATCCCATTGCAAAGAATGTAAGTAGCACAATCTCAGCAGCATTAGATAGGTCTTGGTTCCTTATTTGCAAAATGCAATCCATATAGTCCACTGGATGGTGAAAATTTCGCGAATTTATCGCTCGTAATCGCGTATTTGCGTATTCGCGATCCCACTCAGACACCGCGGGAGGGGCGGCATCGGCGTGGTCAGGAGCACCCGCCTCGTCTCCGGCGGCTGATTGTGACTCAGGGTCCGGGGCTCGGGGTCGGGGCGATGCAGTCGCAGCGCGGACACGACGCACGACGGTCACTCGCACTCGCATCCCAACCCGGACGCTCCGCCGTTCGACGTACCCGCGCGCAATTTATATTTCGCGGGCTCGGGAGGCGTGGCCCCGGCCGCCGCGCCGCGCCATTGGCCGTCATCAATTCGATCGGGCGGGGTTTGCGATATTTGATTGAAGTGCAGCTACCCGCTCCGACTCGCCCGCAGACCCACCCGGCGCGCGCTCCGTGATTTATCCCCCGTTCCGCTCCGCTGCCAAAAGTTCCCCCGCCCGCGTTCCGACCGCCGAAACTCGCCGAGCGCGTTCCCTCGCTTTTTCCCGCTAATTGTTTACCTCCAGTGTTCGCTCCGCGACTCGGCATATTTTCCCCTCTCGCTCACCTCTTGTTTTTTTACACTTTTTTTTCGCGCCGCGTTTTCCCGCCAAATCCCGAAAGTTGTGCGCGACCTTGAGCTTTTCGTGACTTTGACGATTTTGGTGGTGTTCGCCAGGAAGTTCCCAGGATTATTCTGCTTGCAAGTGCGTCTAAGTGTTTGTTGGTGGAGTGCGGCACTCGAGTTGGTGGGTTTAATTGGCGGAGAAATACGACGCGATGAGAGTCGGCACCAAAATGAAAAGACGCGCGAGCTGAGACAGTTTTCCCGCTAATTATATCCGCTGCGATTATTCTCAGTCGGCCGCGGGGTTGGATTTACCGCCGTGAAATGTACTCTGCGCGTCTTTTAATGGATTAGGTTTTGTTCTAATGAATTTATGGCCCATTGCGCCGCGTCGTTTTGATTCTCAGTGTTTCTGATAGAATTAAAGGGAATTAATCTTGGTGACCCGTCCGTTCCATGCGCGAGTTTTTTTGTTCTTTCGAAGTGGTACAAGTAAATGGGTTTGTGCTTCACGTATGAACGCTGTGTGAGTGACGTTAAGAGGGTTTGAGGTTATGTATCAAAGTGCAACGTATCCACCTACAGTGGGTTATCAAGCTGTCAATTGGCATTCCCAGTGCTATCCTCAAAAGGTAAAAAACAACAAATTAAATTTTAAAAAAATGAACCCTTTACATTTTTATCAACGTATTCTTTCACACCAGGTTTGGTTCCTCATCGAACCCTTATTTTTTCCGCATTTTTTCTCGTCGAGGATAAATGTATAAGATTTACAATTTATTATCATTAGAAATTGCAATTTTTCAGATAACGAAGTTATTAACTCGAATTTACGTCATCATTAAGAAGGTTTCATCCTCGATTTTTTCTCGGACCATTTCTCGCTCGCCTCTTTTTATACATTCGCTTCACAACTTAGAAAATTATTTTAAGCTCGTAAAGTCACCAAAAGAACTCGAATTTTTTATCGTATTTTTTTTTTTTTTTTTTTTTTAAATTAAAAATACAGATATATCAACGTAAGTCACCAAAATAGCAATTGAGTTTGAGTGAACTTGACCACTTAACTCAGCAGCTACTTTCGCGCACCCAAAGAAAACTGTCGGTGTTGACCTAGTCACATATTTTGGCTTCAATTATCGACCACGAGAAATATGATTATTTTAAGTTGTTTTACAACCTGGAAGCACTTTAAGGCACCATTTTTCCTGGCGAATTTTTTCGCAGCTTGTCTATTGCATTCATGGTATAAAAAATATTTCATTTATCGTATAACTTTTCGCAAACACTTTTTTTGTAGTACTTTTTCTCGGGTAGAATTTATTCTTCTCTTTTGGTTTCGGATTTTTAGTTAAAATCAATTTATTTACCGTTAAATTGTATAGTAGTAACTTTTTTATATCTAAGCGATAAAGGCTTTAAGGCTTTAATTTCCAGGCAAATGTGCCTGACCAGCTTGGCTTGAGTTCTAAAATAATTTTTCTTTATTTTCTTTTCTTTCTTTGAACAATGACATACCTGTTTCATGCTTGAATATGCTCCATACCATAAAATCTTAAAATGGTTTGAAGTTTCCAAACGGCTGAAAAATTGAACTGCCCCCATCAATAAAAATTTCATTCTTGAATTTGAAGACTACACTTTTCGATAATCGTTTTAAGCAGTTCTGAATGTGACTATGTTAATGCTTTAATTTTCACAGTCATGAATCGTAGATGGTCGTCACATGATAGTGGGCAAGGAAGTTTAGTATCAACTTCCCATCATTTTAATTTTTCTCTACGCGACGTGCATTTGCCGTAGTCTTGTCTTTTCAAAGAACGGGCAACCAGTATCAACGATAGATCGTAAATTTTTAACCATAATCTGCCGCTGCAACTTAAGACAAAATGTTCGTCCGAAATCAAGAACGTAGTGATACTTCAAAGTTTAAAATTATACCTCTCACAAAAAATGTGTCAGAATATTTCTAGGATTAAACAGGTATCTTGGAACGAATGAATGAAAAAAAAAAAAAAAAACTCTACGAGAAAAATCTTATCTGTACTCTTCATTCTTGATTCAACACCAAATATTCATTGGCGGAAAATTTTAGAATTAAAGCTCCTTCAGTTATATCAACAATCAAGTTGTTAAATTGGCGTTCCATAAAATAAAAAAATTAACTGAATGTCAATTGAAACATTACGCTTAGGTTTATATTTGATAAAATTGAGGTTTCGTCACAAAATTTGAGTGAAGCCTGGTAGTTGTGCGACTGAGGCGCACTGACGCAAATCTTCTTGTGTTTCGGTCGTTTGTCCTACGGGTGAGAAAAATAGCGTGAAAAAGGAGGTAAACGGATGAGGAAGAAACGTGACAGAAAGATAGATGGACAAACGAGTAGCGATAACGATTGGAACCGGTTTGTATTAAAATCTGTCTGGAAAATGAATCGAGAGGACGCAGTTGTGAGCCTCTGCTGCAAGTGGGGGTGAGAACCGTGTGAATGTGGAGAAAGAACCTGCTCATACGTGCCAAACTTGAGGTTAAATTGTAGCCTATATATTTTCATATTATTTTCAAAGAAGGAATAAAACTGAGGGGGATGAATATATGACACATTCTCTTGGAATCCATTATTTTTAAGTGACCGAGAAAAGGAAGCCATAATCCATATCACAAGAGCATAGGGAGATGAGTCGCCAAGGCAATTTAGACATTATCTTCTAGACAAATAAATTGGTTTTATTAAAAAAGTTTGCATTTTCAGAACATTTTGCCCAAAATCAAGTTTCAACCCTAATATACTCAATCCAAGCTAACTTTTCAACCTAACTCAAATTGAATTATTTTAATGTTTTTGGAATTTTGATTTTTGAAAATTGTATTAGGAGGATGTAAGTTGGCAGAAATTTTTAGGAGAGATCAGGTCTGTAACGATAGAGTACGTCTGATCATGAAAGTCTTAAGTCATGGTCTCAGTTAAAATTTCTGTCACAAATAATAAGATAAGCTATTTCGGAGCTACATGCTCCGATCTAAAGATCCAAAATAAAGCGGCAAGATAGAAAACACCCCATGAAGCACGTACGAAAGAAGGAAAAATGCAATGAAAAAAGCTATACAACCCCGCAAAACAATAATAATAGTGAACCAAGATAAGTTAAAACAAAAGGAAAACTCGGAACGTTATGCGCTAAATGCGGAGTCTTCCTGTAGGTATCAGTTGACATTCCCAATCCCCAGGAAGTAAAGGGTTGAAAACGCTTCTCCAAGATTATAAACTATTAATTTCAGGTTCTAATCATTTTCTCTGAATGAAAAAGGATTCACGGAGATATCGCGAGAATGCACGATAATCCTGAAGATTCTTTTTTATTCTAACAAAAAATTCAATTGTCTTGACACGCCGAAGTTACAAAAATCTCGTAAAACACGGATTATGCAAATCATTACTTGCACGCGTTCTGAAAATGAAAGAAAGCGAACCAATTTTACTTTAATGTTTTTTCGACAGAATAATATGTTCCTTTACTTGTATTCTTTGCTCAATCTTTTTTGAAACATGACTATTTGCGTAATTTACTAAACTGAGAGATATAGTTAAGGGAGGCGCGTTGGCATTGCTATTTTCAATTATTCTATTTTGAAAAAGACTAAAACATTTACCGTAATCAAGTTTGAGGAACAAATTATTATACTTAAAAACACATTTATTTGCTTTCAAACTGTTAGCAAATCCTTCAAATCACCATTTGAAATATTTTACAACTGAAGGTTATAAAACTGGCTGATCGTTTTGATTTTTATAATTATGCCTTCAGTTTGATTCGACCTTTGATTTTTTCCAAATTATAATACGAATTTTGGTCAATGTGTACTTTTCCATTCCGATACGTGCAACGTTTAACCATTCCTGGAAATATTTCTCTTCGATTTAGTTGACAGACGTTAAAACACATTTATTCAAAAAAAAAAGAAGAAGAAGAAGATTCAAGTATAGATCTCGTTGTAATTGATCCAATTCTCATACACATTTGTAGAAACTCACTGAGCGAGGTTTGTTATTTATTTATTAAGGGTTCAAGTTAAATTTGCGATTGCCAGTAAAAATAATACATTTTCAATCTTTTGGTTTATTTCTTAAAAATACAGGAAATTAAGCTATCGCGAAAGATTATCGAAAAATGTTCAGAGACCGGTTTTTCGTTTCTCAATCATCTTATAAAATTTTTGGTCAAACTGTTTTACCTAAAATTGGATGGTAAAACGTGAATTTTTTTTTCCACCAGTAATTCTCTGTGGACACTAATTTATGTTTCCTTGAAGGAATTTCTTTTAATTTGATATTTGAGATTTTAAAAGATGAATATTTTTAAATCATCAAGTGCATTTTTCAAAGAAAAAAATAATGCTAGGTAGGAAATGAATCAAATTTTTTTTTCTTTAACTTGCATGTAGTTGTGTCAACGTCCAGAAAGACAACAGATGCAACATCACGCTCCAAAGCGCGTTCCGTTTTCAAAAAAATTGAAATTACAACTACATATATTCCCGCGACTTATGATTAACATCCATTCCTAATTTTAAAGAATTGTGTTTTTCCCTGTGCAACAAACAATCACACTTGTTCTGGAGATTTTTTTAAATCCAAGAAGGTTTAAAATGGAGGATTACGCTCCGAGACGCGTCTTCTTTTAAATAATTCGTCGCTTGGCTGACACAAGGGCGTAACTACACATTGAGATGAGCCTGGAAAAGCATCGAATTATATGGAGGATAGGGTTCATTGCAAAGTGTAGTTACGCCCTTGTGTCAGGTAGGCGACGAATTGACCGTGCGAAACAGTAATCATTAAGTTTTCTGCTCTATAAAACTTCTTTACGTTACGCATCTTTAAAATACAATCAAACTATTCATGAGCCGTGCATTTGTAATGCCTTTACTTAGTATGTTTTAATTGAATGAATCCATAAATTATGAAACATTTGCCTGCAAGGCTGTTTTTAGGGGTGCCTTTAATTAATTAACATTCTTCCTTCTTTTAAAGAATTCTTCAATTTCTACCGTAGCATCAAACAATAAAATAATATTTCATTATGTTGTACCAAAAATAAAACATATGTATAATTTTTGTTTGATATGTATGATATGTATGATTGTTTTTTACAACTATAAGCCACCCGATTTCAATACCAGTATTATGCGGGTAGCTTTTTTCACAGAGAAGTTTCTGCCCGGTTGTGCGTGAGGGCGTTGTCACAACATTTTCGTTAGTCCGTTTCGGAGAACAGCGAGTGGTCGCGGAAAATTAATGTTTTCCATATCATTGGTGAAGGGTAACATCCATTCACAAAACCGATAAGATCTTACGCCGATACGGAGTGACGAAAATTCCAAGCTCTTCGCAGCATCGATTAATATCAAAACACTTGATTCGTCGTTGGTGAGACTTACGTACTTCCATTTATTTCAAATCTATATAATTGGACGATTCTGGAAGGATTCTATTTCGTTGGGAAAAATAGATGATATTATATCTTATACCTCAATGGCCGTGTTTCAACATTTATGATCATGCACTTTATTTCTCCATCAGAACATAATCTGATATTTTCTCATCCAGCACGCAGTGTTTATCTACGAGAAA